GTGAGTAATATAAAAGGCCTATACAGGGTTGGGATTGTGGCTCAGAGGTAGAGCGCTCACCTAGCATGCATGAGGCACTGGGTTCAATCCTCAGCACCATATAAATATAAAATAAAGATACTGTGCCCAACTATAACTAAAAAAAAATACATATTAAAAAAGGCCTATACAGCAGTCCTCCCTTATGGATGGTTTTTCTTTTTTGTAGTTTTGGTTATCCATAGTCAATTGCAGCCTAGAAATATTAAATGGAAAATTCTAGGAATGAATAATTCATGTTTTAAATTGCTTGCTGGTTGGAGTAGTATAATGAAATCTTGAGCTCTTCTGCTCTACCCAGGACATGAATCATGTCTTTATCCAGTGTATCTATGCTGTATATGCTACCTGCCTGTTAGTCACTTAGTAGCCATCTGGGCTATCAGATCCACTGTCATGGCATTGCAATGCTTGTGTTTGAGTAGTCCTTGTTTTACTTAATAATGACCCCTAAAGTGCCAGAGTAGTGATGATAGTAATTCAGAGGAGCCAAAAAGAAGCCATAAAGTACTTCAAGTGAAAAGGTGAAAGTACCCAAAGTTATTTAGAGAGACCACATTCATGTAACTTTTATTATACTATATTGTTCGGATTGTTCTGTTTTATTATAGGTTATTTAAATCTTTTACTGCACATAATTTACAAGTTAAACTTTACTACAGGTATGTATGCATAGGAAAAAATAGTATAGAGAGCGCAGTACTAGCTGCAGTTTCGGGCATCCATTGGAGGTCTTAGAATGAATCCCTTGTAGATAAGGGGAGAGTACTGTAGGTTTTAAGCCACCGTATTTTGGGGTGCTTTGCTAGTTAGCCATAGCTAACTGACACAACCAGTCAGCCACAGATTGGGAAGGGATGTTGGTTAGGAAGGAAGGGCTGCTAGAGACAAGCATGTGGATAGGAAGAAGGAAACAAGCCCACACTAAAAACCTAAAAACAGGGACTCAAAGAGCAGAATGGTCTGGGGCCATTTGGGGAAGGGAAAGCAGATTGTGGAACCTCCTAAGATCCTGATCACCGACAGAACTTTACAGCACAATATAAGGACACCGGCCCACGGCATCCAGAAGTAACTGACATGTAGCATCCTTTCTTTAAGAAAGCAAGTATGCAAATGATCTTTAAGAAAGATTTTCACTTAAAATAGTTAAAATCAAAAGCTTAAGTATTCAGTGGTATCCGTCTGGAAAGCTCATTTGTGTGTGAAACGAAAACTGATACCTCAGGTGGGCTTTGGTGCTGCTTCTGGGTACAAAAGGCACCCTGGGAAATGCAGCTTGGTCACCAGGATGCTGGGATTTCAGGGGCATTTTAACATTTGTGGGGACAATGGACAGAATATTTGAAATTGGGGTGACCTGAGAAAATTGTGCAGAAGAGCCAGTCTCCGCATGCGAGGTCCCTCTCTCCCCGGAGGCTCCAGATTAGCAGTGCCATGGAAGCAGAGGAGGGAGCCACCTAAATTGTGGGCTGCAGCACCAGCCTCTGGCTGCCTGCAGGGCTTTCTGAGTGGGAGACAGAGAAGAAGAGAGGGCGGGTGGGAAGAATTGCATTATCCTGTCCTGTGTTAAAGCCTGGTGTTGTTAAAGGTTTGCATCTGAACCGTCCCCTAAAGGCTCATGTGTTGAAGGATTGCTCCAATGCAGCAATCCATGTTCAGAGGTGGGGACTTGGGGAAGTGATTGGGTCAGGAGAGCTTTAACCCATCAGTGGATTCCATCGAGGAACTAATGTTTGAAGGTCTTATTGGGAGGTGGGGAAACGGCAGGTGGTGAACCCTAGTTGGAGAAAGTAGGTCTCTGGAGGTGTGCCCTGGAAGGGTATTGTCCCTTGCCCTGCTTCTTTCCCCTCTGCTTCCTGGTTGCCATGGAGTGAGTGGCTGTCCTCTGCCATGCTCTTCCACCATGATGTTCTGCCTTTGCGTTGGACCCAGAGCAATGGAACCAGCTGACAGTAGACTAAACCCTCCGAAACCATGAGCCAAAATAAATCTTTCCTCCTCTAAGTTGAACTTCTCGGGTGTTTGTCACAGAGGTGGAAAGCCAACATACCTGTGCTCCTCTGAGCAGTGCACACTCAGTTCATTCCATCTCACACACCTGAATCCTGCTCCTTTCCAAAACACCGTTAGTCACCTTCCGGAAAATAATAACCTTCACATCCATCGTGAGGGTACTGAGGGCCAAGCACCAGACCAAGCTCTTGCCTGCCAACTAAGCACCACTACCCTCTTTCCTTTAAAGAGGTGGAAAGGAGGCACAGAGAGATGAAGCCATGGGCTTCCTCAGTTAGGAAACAGGAAATGGCTGAGGGGGGAGTCAAACCTCCACAGCTGTCCCCATCCTCTAAACGGTGGTCTATGCGGCTCCTGTAGTTTGCAAAGCTTCCTTATTCCCTCCCAATTAGGTCTGTCTGTGCTCTTAACCCCACGCTGACTCTTGTCTTTTCAGAACAGGGCCTTTGCTATCACCGGCCTGCCCAAACTCAGGGGACTCAATGGAAAAAATATGGGGAACTCTCCTCTGGGGGATGCAGTCCTGACTAATTACCACTTATCACCTGGAGCGGGCCCAGCTGTGTGGCCCACCTGCGAGAGCTCAGCTTTCCCCTCTGGCTAGCTGCCAGGGCCACCTCCTTGGCCTCACCTCCGTGGAGCCCAGCCAGCTGACAGACAGCCCAGCTCCGGGATGCTTTATCTCCTGCTAACACCCGGCTTCCTCTCCCTCCTCCTCCCTATCTGGGAGTTTCCTTGTGGCTCTAATGAAAAACCTCCTGTCATCTTGAAGAGTTGCCAGTTATTGCTGCTGGGAATAAAATCCAGCCTCTGCTGGGGTCAGGCTCCTGGAAGCTTCTAGCTGGGGAGTGAGGCTCTGCGGTTGGACTAATCCCTTGATGTGAGCAGCTCTCAAGTATAATTAGACATTCCAGGTGGGCTCCTCCCTGGGAGCCAGTAAACAAACAAACATAGGAGGCTCCAGACCCCGCCCCCTCCCCACCTGGGCTTTCTCCCTGCCCCGCCCGGCCTCAGCACACCTGGTTCAAGTGGTTCCTCCACACCCCAGAGATAAGACATAGCTGGCGACTCTCCTGACGTGAACTCTTGGGTCAGTTTGAGATTCTGAGGAGCTGCCAATGGCTTCACCAGATCCTCAGAGATCAGATGAGTGAACTTGAAGATTATCCAAAAATGTAGGTTTCTTGGGTCTACCAGTGGATCCGAATCCCTAGGGCAAAGGCTTGGGAATTTTCACTATTGAACTTGCTTAACTGCCCTTCCTCCCACCCTGCCCAACACACACACACACACACACACACACACACACACACCCTGAATCTGGGCAGCGAGGCCCAGGGGAAAGGGTCTCCTGCCTCCACTGCAAACTCTAAGGAGCCCTTCCAAGCCAGACCTTAGCCCTGCTAGCCCACAGGCCTCACAGTGTGCCAGCACATCAATTTCTGTCCCTGTTTCACAGAGAAAGAGGCATGTAGTTCCTCGAGCTCTGAAACCAGTGCAATTTCCTTCTCAGACCTTCTTTGGGGGCAAAGGCACCAGAGTGAGACATAAAAACCACTTTCAGAGTCTGACGCTCTGGCCAGAGCCTTGCACGATGAAAGGGGTGTGTGGGGTAGCTCTGTAGCCGGCAGAGTGAGCTGTGACTGTAATTCTGGAACCCGTGGCAGTTGACTGTGAGTGGGGCTCTAATCATTAGCAACCTCTGGAAGCAACTGCTTTAGGGAAAATAGGAATACTGTGATTCTCAGTGGGGATGATTTTGTACCCTCCCCCCACCTCTGGCAATGTCTAGAGACATTTTTGGTTGTCACAACAGTGGGTGCAGGAACTCCTGGCCTCTAGTAGGTAGGCATCCAGGATATTGTGAAATATCTTATCGCATATTGGACATTATAAACACAATGAGCAATTCTGGCCCAGAATGTCAACGGTGCCATTATCAAGAAACCCTGGAATAGATATAACATGCTGCCAAAGACATGAATCCAAATCCACAGATGTCCTTGGCCCTCAAAGGCAGAGTGTTAATTCAGGGTTTTGATTTGGGAATGGAATTTTCTTAGCTTCCATTTGTCATTATTTATCTAAAGGTGTGGATGGACCCAGGGGATGGCAGGGAAAGGCTTACAGGTGGATCGTACAGTCCCCTAAACAAGCCGCCAATAAACACAAAGACCCCATTTAAGCCCTTGATTCCTCCAGAAATTGGTCACTGGTTGAACGGCAGCATTTGGATGAACAAATATTCAGTTCTGGACGGCCTGATTAGATTTATTCCATACGGATTCCCCAGGTGGTCTCCCGTCTTCACCGAAGAGTTCAAAAAACACACCATTTAGTTGATAAAATTGAATCTCCCACGAGTTAACGGAGTGGAACCAGCCACTGGTGCAGATTGAAGCACAAATGCTCCCGTGAAAGCCAGGCTTGGGGGTGGCCAGATATTTTCCTAACAGTTGATTTGATGCAGTTCAGTGGTTGATGGTGTGTGGAAGCGGAACACCTCCGGAGGATCCAATCCCCTCCTGTTTACGTGGCCGGCTCCTCAAAGGGCACACAGAATTTCTTTCCCCTATAAAGTGAATCTGGGCATTTTACAGCTGGAGAGGGAGCGATTCCATTTGAATTCATCAAGAGGCAGAAGGCAAAGAAGCATGCTGGAGCTTTTAAGGACATTCTTCCCTGATTGACAAGGTCCTGGGGCCACCCCCTGAGAAGTTTTAGCCACAGGACATTTCTTGACATCCTTCAAGAGAGGCCTGTTATCTTAGCTACATTCACATGGAGTCTGCTTCTTTCTTTCTTTCTTTTTCTAATATGTCAGTTTAAGGAGTAACTACATTCTAACTCTCGAAGTTGAACGCACTTGTTAATTATAAGCCTGTAACATTTCCCCCCTATAAACTATAAGAAGAAAGCAGTAAAATTATTGAGGGAAAACATACCTTTCAGCCACTTTGGACATTTTCAAACAGTGTCTATCAATCTGTGCATTCAAAAATGTTATCTGGGGGAAAGAGAGAACAGAGATGTTGAAGACCAAAGAGAATTCTTTTCCCCCCAGTTCATTCCACTAGCCAGATCCTCCATTTCCACCAAGAGCTGAATACCTCCTCTGGCAAGACTTCTCCTGCCCTCTGGCTTTGTACGCCTCCAACCAACATCCTAGGATACTTTAGGATTCTCACTCTACAATTTAGCCTAGGGCACGTACTTGCCTGCATGTTATAATTTAAGTCTGGATTCCCAAAAGCTATTCCTAAAACTTAAAGGCAACATATATTCTACAAAGCTTAGGAACAGCACAGAGTTAAGATGTGCACCATAAAAATCTATTTTGCCTGAATTCCAGTGGCCATCCCTCTGCCCACCTTTCACACACGTATTACCCTGTGTGCTTGGCATGTTTGAATCGATCATCAAAGAGCTACATTGCAGATGTCTGTTTCTTCTTCCTGACCTAATAATAAATGTGCCAGGGGAAGATACCCAAAATTTACTCTTTAAACCCATCCCCCTTCAGAGGCTGGTAAAGCATGATACAAAGAGTAAGTCTCAAAGTTGCCTCAGTATTAGTAAATATCAGAAGGGAGTGATGTAATTAAGCATTCTCTGTTGATCTGGGCTTCTTATAATGTTAAGAAGATGACATTAAATTAAATCATGCTCAAATGGCATTGGGATAGGGCTTACTTTATTCTTTTATTTTTAAATATATTTAATGCTGAGGATTTAACTTCAGGGTGCTTTACTACTGAGCTACATCCCAGCCTTTTTTATTTTGTATTTTGAGACAGGGATCTCACTAAGTTGCTCAGGGCCTTGCTAAGTTGCTGAGGCTGGCCTTGAACTTGCAAACCTCCTGCCTCAGCCTCCTAAGTTGCTGGGTTTACAGGTGTGCACCACCACACCCGGCTATTCTTAAGCTTTCCTTCTGAACCACAGCAATAGCATTGGTGGTGCTGAGCTGGTGGGGGTCTCTGGAAGTGCAGTGTACTTTTAAGGGTCCTGGGATATGATCCCCTATCTCCCCCAGCTCCACAGCAGTGGGTGGGAACCCGGACCACAGGGCTCAGCCCCAGCATTGTGACTACTCATTTTGTGCTTCTTTAAGAACTGTTGCTGGAGACTCTTCCAGCTTCTCATGGGTTGTTCACACTGCACTCAAAGGTTCCAGTCTCCCACTGATGGATTCCACAGTGGTTTCCAAGCTCTCCTGGTCTGCAGAGGTGAAGGTTAAAGGGGATTTTAAATCAACCCTGTCCTGTCCTGGGAGGGCAGCTGTGGCGAATCATTCACCTGTTTCCGGATGTCCTCTTTTGTAGTTTTCCTGATTGGCTGACTGGGTATGTGCACAGGACTCTGAGACTGGGACTCTTCCGTCACACCGTACACGGACTAGAAGAAGCAAGAATAAGATCATGTACCTTCAGAGTTTGAGGGGTGGCGAAGGGTCAGTTAGTTTAACCTCTCATCAGATTCTTTCAGGTCCCTCTATGACATCCACACAAAAGTGACAGGCCTCTGCTTGAATTTCTCAAATGATGTGAACTCTGCCTCTTGGGGCATCTCATCTCATTTTTGAGTGACAACTGCTAGGAAATCCTTCCTTTTGTCAAGTTGAAATGGTTTCCTTGCATGTCACTGTTTTTCCAGATATGGCCCATGAGCCATCTGTGAAGAATCACCTGGGGGCACTTGGTAAAGACACATCTCACGGAGCTCCCCCCAGACCTGCTGTGGGTAGGTTGAGGATCTGCACTTTTATCAAATGTCCCAGGTGATTCTGGGGCTAAAGAAAGTTCAAGAGTAACTGCTAAAGGTTATATGCAAAAAAATCCTTTCTAAATTTTCTGCATGGCAGCAGATGACAGGCCCATCTGGTACCAAATTGAGATGCAGCATTTCAGGTTTTCTTTCTTAAGTGAAATGGATTTCTGGCCTCAGTTTCTTTGCTTGTCTAAAAGCTATGGCTCTTTTTAAAAGCGGTTCCTAGTGTTGGGAAGAGACTAAAGGCCACCTTTTGTGTTAGGAAAGAAACAAAGCCCTGAAGGACACGCAGGGTGGGGCTGAAATCTATAAAATCAAGAAGGGTTCTGATCAGGTGATAAGGTCCATGGGTCCATAAAATTCTAGATATTAGAGTTAGAATTAGGGACTTTAAAGATTAAATGAGAACATTTAAGACAAGGACTAATAATTTAAAGTATAATTCAGTAGGCATTGTTATCTCAGTGACAAACAAAATACATAGCCGATTGATAAGTTGTGTGATTGAAAAGTAGATTGAAAAATTCCACACCTGACCTCATGTGACAGGTTACAGTTAAAACACAGGCCACTAAAAAAAAAATTATATAAAACTACCTTCAAGGCTATGTGTATATGAAACATAAATAAATTTTGTGTTCAGACTTGAGTCCCATTCCCAAGATTTCTCATTATGTATATGCAAACATTCCAAACTCTGAGAAACATAATCCAAAACCAGAAACATTTCTGGTCCCAAGCATTTTGGATAGGAGACACTCAATCTCTGTGTGTGTGGGTGTGCGTGACTTCAGGATGCCCTGGGGAAACCTCAGTCTGGCTTAGCTGCCCTCCTGGGGGCTCCTGACCAGCCTGTTCTTTCCCTAAGGTGGCCCTCCTGGCCTGGTGGCTTATTGACTGGTTTCATTTCCACCCAACTGTGGGCTCTCTGAGAACCTGAAGCCCAGCAGCAAACATGGTACCCAGCACCCACCAGCCACTCAATAGATACTTCTAGAATTTACTAATAGAATGGTTTCAGAAGTTAAGATAGGGCAGATTTCCAAATAGAAAATTATTACGTGGAGAATACCAGAAATGGAAGGGCTATTGGCACCAAGAAGTTTTAATTCAGCTCAACGAGCGAACCTTTTTAACCTTTTGTGGATTCTTCAAACGCCGACATTTTCTGATGTCCATTTCTGTTGTGTTCACACAGCCTGGCTGAGAGAAGAAGATCGTATAAATTATTTAGCCCAAGTAACACCATCAGAACAAACCTCTAGCTTCCCCATTACGGATAATTCATGAAGGTTTTCATTGGGCTATAACGTAGGCTCTTATGTTCCTGTGAGAACGCCTCATTCTGACCTTCTGGTAAGGATGATATGGGGCGGGTATAGTGTACGGTTTCTAAGAGCAAACTTATTATTCAAGTGGCAAGATGGCCAGTTGCTAAAATTTATTTGTAACCTGAATCAGTATTTTCAAGGATTTAACAGATATGGATAGGATGCCAAAGATATCGAGTTGCCCCACGTGCATGAGCCCAGACCAGGTTGAATAAGGTGACATACTGCCTTCTCACTTCAGGCCTCATACGGTAAACCAGTCTGTTTAGAATTTACGGAGCACCAAGTTTTTTGCATTTCTGGCTTTTTGGTTGGTGGTTTTTCTGTTTACAATGGTTCCCAAGCAGAGTGCTAGAGTGCTGTCAGGTGATCCTAAGTGCAAAATGGCTTGGATATGCCCCAAGGAAAAAATACGAGTTAGATGAGCTTCACTCTGGAATGGGTTATGGCTGTGAGTTCAAAGTTAATGAACCAACCGTTCATGTGCTGGTTCATGTTAAGTAGGGGCATTTTTTACACTGGAACAAACATTCAGCAAATTCACATATTGATCAGTTGACAAAAATGTGACCAGAGGCTCGCAGGAACCCAGAGCTATTCTTCTCTAGAGTGGATGCTTCAGTATTCACTAATTCAGTGTTCACAGATTCCTTATAGAACATCACTACTGTCAACGGCAAGAGCTAGCTGTGTTTGAAAGACAAGAGTTTAGAGTTAAAAGACAATGGAAAATGGAAATTGTTAATTTAGGGGAATGTCAACTTCTGGGGCTCAAAGTTTTCCCGGTAGAATTCTTATCACTCCTCCATTCCATTTCCATATTTTCATGAATGGATATTTTTTTAAAAGGTGGCAACTGACATATTCTGGAATATCTGCTGAGATTTCATAAATGAACGGCCAAACCAATTTTACAAAGCATAGCACTTTTTAAAAGAAAGACACCTGATCACTAGAGACAGTCTTTTCTTTGTAGAGAAGAAAACAGGAAAATGAAAAAATACACACACACACACACACACACACTCATGGAGAACTAAAGTACGGCTTTCTTACCACTGGTCTGTGGACATCCCAAAAGGCACGTTCCTGACTATCCAAAATTTTCCGTTCCGTCTTGTCCTTTTTCCGATCTATCCTGAAAGAGAGGTAGTAAGAGCTTTTTGTCCCCACCGGGACCCTTGCCCCAGTTCTCTGCTCTCATTTCTAGAAGCTAAGCTGCACCCAAGGATGTTGGCACCTATGTGGTCCCTGCTCTCTGCAGGTGTACGGTTCCCTCCAGGAAACCAGGGCTGGATTATAGATTGCCATACAGGTGCAAGAACATGATGGACCCACGGGAAGAACAAGAATGAAGTTGTCCCCCTAAAGTGTCAAGATCTGGGTTATTGAGAACTGAATTACCCGTTGACACACCCCTTCCCTTTGAAGTGAATACTGACCCCACACATTTATAAGAAGGAATAGAACTACGGGTTTGGCAGTGTTCCATCTCAAATCTGAAAGTTTACTTTTAGATTCAGAGCCAGTAGAAATGTCTTGAAAATGCTGCAATTACGTATTTTAAAAGTCACTGAAGCCAACTGGTTTTCTAAAGGCAGATTAATGGCCCTAGCCTGTGACAAGATTTAGAAGGTAAACATAACCAGTCTCAGGTGGGGGAGACAGAAATTGCAAGAGAGAAATTACAGGTGACAAAGACAAGATTATTTATGTTCCAATCAGCAGCCTAGATAAAAGACTTTTTTTTTTTTTTTTTTTTAAGCATGTGTTACTTCATATTATCTAAGTAAAAAGCAACTTGGATTAATTGCCGTGTAACTTCTGGTTCCCGGCTCTCTTGGGAGCACTTTAGTTTACTGGACTGAAATAAACCCGTAATCACCCCATGATTTTTGTGATAATTACTGTGTACTTAAATGACCCACAATTATAATGCAATCACAGAGTTAATCAAAAAAGTTAATGGAGAAATGCCATATATGTACAAAGTGCCGATGTCGATGTCCCCTCCCTTTATAACATGTGATGCCAATTGATTCTGCAAGAGCAAATTTGTGCTCCTCCCTGCTTCCCAGTGGCTTCTGAGTAACCAGGTTCATTTACCCTGCAGCCCATACAAATCCTTCTGTTTTCCCACCCATTCTCCCAACTTTGATTTCCCCAGACAGTGCTTATTGCAGCTCAACCCCAGGGCCTTGTGCCCACCTCCTTCTGGGACTGCTGGGAGAATTAGGGTAATCAGCAGGAGGCTGGCATCCTGGGCAGGGGACAGGCAGAGACTGCAGAGGGAGGGTGACAGCAATGACCGCATATAGAGTACTGGACCAGCTGACCTTAGGTCATTTCACAACTGTGTCCACAGCTGCGATCCATCCTCACCACGCAGCCCGAGACCCAGCTCTAGGGGATGCGGGACGCCACTCACAGAGCGTGAAAGCCCACGGGGCCTGCTCACATGCAAGTGGCACCCAGAAAAGGGGGACTTGTATTCTCCCCACTCCACATTCCTGCCCCACCCCATCATAGTCACACTCTTCCTATGGACACTGCTGTCGAAAGCAGATCCCACGGGAAAGGACAGGGGAGACCCTCCCACAGCAATGCCAAGTCCCAGAATCACATGGATCTGGTTGATGGCTATGTTTGTGGCCTCGGGGACATTTATTCCTCATTCTTTATATTTCCTTTGAGAGGAAGGAATTCCTACTATATATTCAGGGAGGGAAAAATATGAAAAAAAATCCTTTCAACTTTTTTTTTCTTCTCCTATTATTATTTTTTTCTTTTTATGGAGGAAGAATGAGTTTACTTATTGGTGAATTTGAAAGAATAAATTGAGAATGCTCAGACTGATCCCTCTCTACCCCCGTCTGGGTCAGTCTGTCTGCAGGATATCCCTTCTCTGCATGCAGTAAACTTAGATGGGTCAGCTCAGCTCAGGTCTGGTAAGGAGCCCTACAGATACCTGTTTTTGCCCCGGAAGTACAGATTTAATTTGGACTTGAGGCCACAGATCCAAAGCCACACTTTATCATCTTTCAGTTAATGGACTCCAAATGTTTGACTTCTGCGTCTTATTTTACAATTGATTTTAAACTCCTACCCTTTAGAGAAAAAGAGGAGAGTGGCTACTTGTCTTCTCTAAAATTTCAGCATGTTTTCCTCTGAGAACCAAATCTCCAACCCTACTGATTAGAAATCTTGGACAAATAGCTCTACCTTATAAGCAGAGGTCTACATCTGGGAAGGTCCCCTTGCTTAGGGAGGCATGTGCTTTTGAAACTATTACAGAGCTGCATTGGTTCCAAGGATGAAATGTATCCATCCTGAGCTCACTCTGCACTCACTCTCTACTGTTCTGCCCTCCTGAGATCAAAGAGATGAATGACAGCTGGAAGCCTCCCTTCAGCAATCCCACCCTCACACCGTCTCCTGTTTCAGAGAGTCTTTTTCCCTCTGAGAGGGTCTCTGTTAGGTTCACCTACTTTACTTGCGCCTCTGCTTGCATAAAGATGAATTCCCACTTCCTTGCAAACGCCCTCTGGAGTCTTGCTAGGTTTTCCTAGGGAGAAGCAAAATCGACAAAAAGGCATTAATCATCGTAAGTGAACTCATTGACACCCACGCTTATTACAAGGTGGCCATCCATTTTGGTTACCCCCGACAAAACAGCAGGGCCCTGCATTAAGTCCGTCGGACATGAACACAGTTTGACTTTGCACCACGCTCTGCTTGTACAGAGCTGCCCTATTAATATTCATTTGTACATCCATTAAGTTTGAAGTCTCTGTGGTTCGCCGGATACCTGTCCTCTTGTGTGTTTTTATAAGAACACAACTCACCTAGCACTTGTTATAAAGGCTGCAGAACGTAATGGTGTGTGGCTGTTGGGAAAGGAATGACAGGGGCTTTGCAACCTGTTGGGTCTCTCCAAGAGCCAAATCAAAGATGGACCTCTCAAGGACAAGCCTGGGAGGTTCACAGGAGAGGAGAACCCGGAGGACTTGGCATGAGTGATTTTTAAAGTTAGGATTCCAAAGTGGACCAAAGGGGGTGTCTCTCTTTGTGATTTTCATAAAAGGAAAGCCCAAAAACAGGAGAAAGGAAGTCATCAAGGGTTGCTTTAAAAAAAAAAGTAATAAAGTAGAGAAGTATTTTCTCTAAGTCTGCAGACTTAGCTAGTGGAACATTAGGATTTGGTGAGGAGGGGAGTTTGACAGGGCCCTTAATGATCCTCCTAATTCTGATTAATGCAAGGCCAGAGCCCACATTATGCTATGTATTTTCATAGAGCTCATGCCAACACTAATTGATTACCCTCATTAGTGGATTATTAATATAAAGGGAGCTTCAACTGAAGAGCATCACACATGAACTCACAGCTATTACCAAAGCTTGGTGTGCAAGTACATCTAAAAATCTGTCCTTTTGACTTCCCACTGTTTCTAGGAAGCCAAGCTGGTGATGACTTAGTGTCAATCAGTTAAGGAGAGTTATATGAATGATGATAAAGTCACACCATGGAATACTAGGCAGCCATTAAAAATGATACTGTAGATTAGTATTACTGGTATGGAAAGTCTCCCCAGAAAGTATCGTATAGGACTGGGAGAGAAGTACCAGAGAGTAATGTTTTTGGCATAATTCTATATTTTTTTTTGTAAAGAAAAAAATGTATGCATAGAAAAATTGTGGTGGTGGGAAGTCACAGGTAACATAGGTTATTATCTCTCCTTTTTTTACTGTTTGAATTTTTGTTTTCTACAAAGGGAATATAACCAGAAAATTTTAATAAAATGACTGCATTTTGAAAACAAAATGCTTTGTTTGTTCAGAACCTACCTCCACCTGAAAAAAATCATGCCATATTCTTTACAAATGCCAGAGCAGAATACTACAGTGCAAGAGAAGAGAAAACCAAGTAAAACACACCCAGAGATGGTGCAGTTATACTTCTAACCGTGGGGTACATGGGAAGAGAATCAGGAGGGAGGGGCTACTTCCCTCGCAGTCTGGATCTTTCCTACAGGTTGTGTCAGGGAAGCCATGGTGTCGGGTTCAAGTTTCTTGCCTGGTTACATAAAGAGTAAAACAGCCTTGGGAAGAAGGGTCATGTGGCTTCTAGGGCATCAGGGAAGACAGCGGCAGGAATGACCTCCCAGAACACTCAGAGCCACCAGGCCAGATTTGCTTGGGAAGGTCCCATTGAATGTCCCCTCATAGGATCTGATAGGCAGACTTAGCCAGGTCCCAAGCCTTGGACGACCTCTTGTGCTCTCTCCTCCCATTCACAGGTCCAGATGCCAGAGAGATCAAAGAGGGCGGGGAGCCCTCGGCAGGTCCCCTCTCCACTGGCACACACGTATTTGCTTTGGGGAATGAGGGTTTGGTGGCTTGGAAAGCTGGGGCATAGGTTCCCAAGAGAGGCAAGGCCCAGCGGGGGACCTCATCATCCTCTGGGAAGACTGAGACAGTGCAACTGGAAGGTGAGAGGGTCTGAAGATGTTGTTAATGCCGGACCTTCCAAGGAAGGATTGTCCTCTGCCCTTAATGTTGCCTCTCCTCCCACGGTGGCTGGCCCCTCAGTCTTCTTGTGGCTCAGCAACACCTCTGCTGGAGATTATGGAGGGACTGGGAAGTGGAAGGTTCACAATTTTGCCAATTTTCCGGATTTTCTGCACTGCATATAGAGTTCGGTTTTGGGGGAAAGACTCTGCCACTTTTTCTTGCAGAATAGCATTTCATTGTATGGACACATCATCCTACTTTAGCCATGCACCTGTTAGAACACATTGGGTTGTTTTCAGTTTTTAGTTACCACATATAACTGGTGTGGATCTTAGTGTATAGGGTTTTGTGTGAACATAAGTTCTGATTTATCTCAGGTATGTACGTAGCAATGAGATTACTTGGCTACATGGTAAGTGTATGTTTATAAGAAACTGCAAAACCATTTTCCAGAGTGGCTGTACCATTTTGCCACCTCACCAGCAATACAGGATGGTTCCAGCTGTTCTGCATGCTCACCACCACTTAGTAGTCTCAGTATTTTTTTTTAAATATTTTTTTTTAGTTGTAGATGGACCCGATACCTTTATTTAATTAATTTATTTTTATGTGGTCCTGAAGATCGAACCCAGTGCCTCACACATGCGAGGCGAGTGCTCTACCGCTGAGCCCCAGCCCCAGCCCATCAGTATTTTTTATTCAAGTCGTTCTGACAGGTGGGTGGTGGAGTCTCACCAGGGAGTCCATCTGTTTCACAAATGGCTACTGGCATCGGGTATTTTTCAATGTGCCTCCTCACCATCTTTTTGTCCTCTTTGGTGAAATATCTGTTCAAGTCCCTTTGCCCATTTTTATGTGGAGTTGTTTATTATTCTTTTATTGCTGAGTTTGGAGAGTTATTTATATAAAAATGCAGTTTTATTGTGATGGTGAGAGAAGCTGAGAACATAGGAAATAGAAGAAACTCCCCTCCCTGTGTTAGGAAGGGCTGGAGGGGTAAGAAGGGAAAATACCACCGTGGAGCTTAGAGACCCTCCCACACCTAGCCTGGGAAACGGCCACACTTACGGCTTCATAATCAGCCAATTCCAGCCTCGCTTTATTCTGCATGGTCCTCTTGCAGAGATAGATGGCTGAGGGAGGAAGAGAAAGGGCAATATGCATCAGACCAGCAGAGCAGTGGAATCATAAACCCATGTGTCCCTCCATCTCTCCATCTCTTCATCCATCCATTTATCCATCCCTCCATCCATCCATGCAATCATGCATCCATCCCTCCATTCCTTCATCTATACATTCCTCCATCCATCTATCTATCCATCCATCCATCCATCCATCCATCCATCCATGCATCCATCCATCCCTCCATACCTCCATCTCTTTATCCCACCCATCCATCCATCCATCCATTCCTCCATCCACCCAACCATCCACTCATCCCTCCCTCCCTCCATGCCTCCATCTCTTCATCCATCCACTCATCCATCCCTTCATCCATTTCTCCATCCATCCATCCCTTCATTCCTCTATCCCTCTCTCTTCATCTATCCATTCATCCATCCATCCATCCATCCCTTCATTCCTCTATCCCTCTCTCTTCATCTATCCATTCATCCATCCATCCATCCATCCATCCCTTCATTCCTCTATCCCTCTCTCTTCATCTATCCATCCATCCATCCATCCATCCATTCTTCCATTCCTCCATCTCTTCATCCACCCACCCATCCATTCATCCATTCCTCCATCCACCTACCATCCATCCATCCCTCCATCTCTCTCTCCATCCCTCCATCCCTCCATCCCCCCATCCATCCACCCATACATCCATCATCCATCCATCCATCCATCCATCCATCCATCCATCCATCCATCCCTTCATCTCCCCATTCATCCACCATCCACCCATCATCCATCCACCCATCCACCCATCATCCATCCATCCATCCACCCATCCACCCATCGTCCTGTGCATTCAGCCCCCTGGCCCTCACTGTGCCCACTATGTCCTGTGAAGAATGTATATTCCAAGGAGAAGTCATGCCATCTGACCTCCAGGAGTCTCTCTCTAGGCCAGGATCCCCCGAGGACCCCACCTGCCAATCCTGGCCACTCCTCTCCTTCCTTTTCACGCTGCTGCACCCAGACACCCTCCACTCAGAGAATTCTCTCTTTTCCCAGCATGGCCTCGTTGCCCTGGGTCTGAGACCTGAATCTTCAGTGGCCTCAGAAGAAAGGCTTACAAGGCCACCACATTTTCAGCTACTTCCATTTCCCCTCCTCTGCACGTGTCCCCTACATGATGGCCTTTCTCTCTTCTCTCCTGTTTCCCTCTGTCTGGTGACCTCCCACTAGTCTCTGAAGACCCTGCTCAGTGTCCCGTCTGTGCATCCCCGACACATAACCTAAGTCCGTTGCCCTGAATTCCTGTGTTTACTGACCGTCCCCTGCTCTACGCCGAAGGTTCTTTAGGGACAGGACTATGTCCAATTCAGCCCTAACCCTGCCCCTAGCGCCTGGGCCTGTCCTGCCAGGTGGGAGGAGACAGCAGTGGAAAGGGAGGACGAGGTGGGGCTCTCGGCTCAGCTCTAGGAAGGGTTCTGGGCCCCCAGCCTCAGGGCCTTCCTCCCCGAGAGGTGGCCTCCATCACCTCCTCTCCCTAGCTCTGCTTCTTGGGGGTCTTCCTCCTGCTCCAGTGCCAAGTGGGAGGATCCAGGGAAATGGCAGGTGAACAGCATGAAGAACAGGACGACCAGGAGAGAAGGTCGCAGAAGAGCTGTGACCGTCCAGCTGTCGGAACTTAACTACTGCGAGAGATCTCTGGCCAGCTCCCTGCTCCCTTTGCTCTGAAGCATTTGCTGACAGCAGCCCATGGTGCCCTGGAACCCCACAGCTAGCAGCCTGCTCTCCGGGATGCCCACCCTCCTGCTTCCTATTGTCTAACCGTGTGCTGACTTGGGTCCAGTTGTCCCCAAATCTGCTTATGTCAGGTTCCCTTGTTACCGTGACGACGTAAGTTCACCAAATATGATAGAGACACACAGTCTCAGAATGTTGGTTCTACTTAATGATTTTTTTTTGACTTTACTATGATGTGAGAGCCAGATGCATCTGATAGAAAGCATACATTGAAGTTCAAACGTGGATCTCTTCCCAAGCTAGTGAGATGAAATGCAGTTTGCCACTCTGGGGACGCCAGGCGGTGGCAGGGAGCCGCAGCTCCCAGTCAGCTCTGGGCTCCAGGGTCTGAGTGTGCTCTCCTGCTGAGCTATGATGTTGGGTAGGTGACAGGTACTGAAAGCACTGTCAACTTTTGACGTTTTCAGCTTAGGTTGGGTTTCTCAGGACACTGCCCCTTCCTAAGTTGAAGGGCATCTCTACCAATGAACTTGACGTGAAAAGGGAGAGTTGTTGTTGAATGGTTACAATAACTTAGCAAAGGAGAACAGTTAAGGCAACTGCTGGTGAATTTGGCATAGGTGAGGTGGCTGGGAAAATATAGGAAAAAATATAATAAAAATCTAAGGAAAAAATAATAAAAATCTAGGTGAGGCCAGTGTTCAGGAAGCTTCAAAAGTGTCTTGCAATTCTCGATGCATTTTTAACAAGACCCAAATTGGATGATTTGAGTGCGGCTTATTTAAGAAAGGAGCTCTAATTCTGGGGTGAAAGAGAAGTAGTTGGTCCTACCTCAAAGACTGTCACATCATATTCTTTCACACATCTCACATTCATATGAAGTGCTTAAGGCCTCATTTTGAAAACGATTTGCTATTTGCCAACTTTTCCAGAGAACCCGGCAGGTCCAGCTCTGCCTAGAGTCTGGTTAAGAGACATCTGCTCTTCACAGAGCACCTCCTGCAGCCTCTTGCACCCACAGTCATTCTGGAAACTCGGGAGCAACCTCAAGCAAGAAGCTTGGCATGTCACCTGCCCTGCAGCCCTGGTCTCGGTACCTGGGAGCATCATAGGTCAGTGGAGGTAGCAATTGCTTTCACAACGCTGCCCCCATTTTGGATGGTGCTTTCTAGTGGCCACACGTCAATCTCAGGAAAGGTGCTATGGTTTAGATGTGAGGTGTTCCCAGAAAGCTCACGGGTGAGACACTGCAGGAGAGTTTAGAGGTGAATGGTCAGGTTATGAGAGCCTTAGCCTAACCAGAGCACGAATCCACTTGAATGGACTAACTGGGTGGTAACTGCAGGCAGAGAACGTGGGTCACTGGGGGTGGGCCTTTGGCGTATGTGGCACGCTCTCTCTGCTTCCTGGTGGCTATGTCCGAAGCTGCTTTCCTCCTCCACGCTGTGACATCCTGCCTCATCTCAGGCCAAGAGCAACGGAGCTGGCTGTGTATGGACTGAGCCCTCCCAAACTGTGAACTCCAAAGAAACTCTTCCTCCTCCATGTTGTTCTCGGGTGTTTTGGTCACAGCGGTGAAAAAGCTGACTCAATCAAAGGCTAACCCAGATTTGGACAATGCGCTGTGTGCAGGCAGAGTCGACCCGAGACCTTTCCAAGCCATCTGGGTCAAAATGGGCCAGTCAGGTTGTGAAGCAAAGCATCGCACAGGAACACAAAGCTGGTGCCACTCTGGTGACGGTGAGTCCGGGTCACATGTTTCTAGCCCACTTCCCTGTGGGTGGCTCAAGTCACATGTTAGGCATCTGTTGGGGAGGGAGGGTCCTTGGGGCAGACCTCCCCTGGGGCTTGGCTGCACTACCAGGGTCCTTCACCTGCAGGTTTTGTCTCCCTGCCCCCACACCTGGAGTCCCACTGGGACGAACCCACTTCTGCCTCAGGCTCACGACTCGTCACCAAGACAGAAAGGCAGTGTGCTTATAAAGGGAACAGATTCACGTGCTAGATGTTAAATTAAAATACGAAAAATACCGAACTCACTTCAATGTACTTAAACAACAGATCCCTTTGCAAACTTTCTGTCCTTATTAGTGACATCACTACTTACCTCAGTCTCCTCAACTAGAGAGATGTAAATCACTTCATTCTCTATTTTCCTCATACTCCAGTTACTTTTGGAGCAACACAATTCAAGCATTGGAAAGAACTTTGGCAGCCACCAGCCGTGGACCCCTCACTTACAGATGGGGAAAATCAAAGGGCAGGGAAGCGAAGAGATTCACCCAAAGGCTAGTGAGTGACAGAGTGGAACGAGAATCGAGGTCAAGTTCCGACTTTCCACGATGACATTCTCTGACCCATTTACTCCTTAGTTTATTCATCCATTCGCTCAGGAAAACGGTGCTGAGGCTGGGCACAGGGGCACATACGCCTGTAATCCAGAGACTCGGGAGGCTGAGGCAAGAGGATCGCAAGCTCGAGGCCAGCCTCAGCAACATAGCAAAGCCCTAAGCAATTTAGCAGGACCCTGTTGTCTCAAAATAAAAAATAAAAAGGACTGGGCATGGGGCTCAGTGGTGGAGCACCCTGGATTCAATCCCCTTTACCAAAAAAAAAAAAAAAAAAAAAAAAAGAAAAAAGAAAACTGCTCTGTCTCCTTGTGCCAGGCACTGTCTCAAAGGTGTGAGGCCACCGTGACTGAGTGCAGTGACAGTCTTGCCCAGTCCGAAGGACTTTCCAAATGTCCACTCATGAAATCCTCATGATGACGCCAAGAAGGGGTTTTCAGTTATTATCCCTATTTTACCATGAGGGGGTGTCTCAAGTCTTCCTCGTTGCTGGGGACCCACGATGGCTCCCAAAGCTTTGGGGTCCATTCTAATGATGTCTACTGTCGAGGCCTTCATATCACCCGCCCCTCCCCCACTCTGCCTCCTCCATCGGCCTCATCACCATGCAGCTTTGGAATGCTCAGGCCAGATCCTCCCCTCTCCCTTCTTCCCCTCTGTGCTGTCTCTCCCAGCCTGGCCCGCTGGGCAGGCAACACTGTGATTTGGCCAAATCTGTGACCCGGAAATTGACAGTCAGTGATCAGTCAATGTTTGTTGAGTGAATAAACGTTTCTGGGGGTTTTCATCAATCCAAATCACCGAGATTCTGAAATCCTCACCAGAGTTTCACACCCTTCCTCATGGGAGGATCATAACACCACGCAGGAGCAACCATTCCAACCAGGGCCACCACAGCAGTGACCACAGGGCAGCACTGACTTCTCCCAGGACCCTAACAAAGCAACGTTGGAAGACAGGCAATATTTTCCCTCTGATTTGGTTGTGAGGATTCTGAGGCACAGAGAGGTCAGGCCACTTCCCAGGCTCACACAGCCAACGGAGCTGGTGGATCCTGGGGCCTGTCGTACTGAATTCTGACTTGGTCAGTACTCACTGATTTTCTGGATAAATGGATTTGGAAATATTGGTGAGTCCTTTTGTCTCCCACACCTCAACTTTACCTGATTTGCTATCTATGGACGCACATGAATTCAAAATAATGTAGCTTTGGTGACAGCCTGACATAAACGGTCATTTCTATCTCTGTTCATCTCCACTTGATCACGAAATGGGGAAAATGGTACAGAAAGGGAAAGAGTGTCCTTCATAACACAGTGAAGATGGCGTGGATGTGGCCCAGGAGGCTGGTCTCGGCCTCCCCCTACCATCTCAACCGCCTCCCACCCTCCACTGCCCGGGAAAATATTGGATTCCGGTTCACAAGGGCCCAGGCTGCTGCCCGAGCTGAGCTCTAATTATTCAAATTCTGAGTCGGGCTGTTGCCAGTCTTTCAGGCCCAGAAGCGCTTGCTTTGTGATGGCCAAATGCAGCTCCTGCCCTGAGCCCGAGGCCTTGCTGGCCCCACACCTCCCAGGAACCTGTGCACGGTGCTCTCCCAGGGTCACCGAGGGGCCGGCAGACAGCCCAGCAGACAGCTGAGGGCCCTGGCCATGTCATGAGCACCCTCCAGACTAGAACAAGCGCAGCCTCACCAGGCAGTGGCTCGCCCCATGGCCTGTCCCCCTCCACACCCACGCGCTGGGCCTGCAGTGATGGTGAGGTGGGCCGCTCTCTGCCCTCTTTGGCTTAAAGCCAACGGAGACTTCAGACTAATGTGATTGTGGGGGACATGGTCTTCCTGGGCCTCCGGTTCTTTATGTTAAGTATAGGGACAGTATAATTTCTTCAGAAAATTGTTACATAGAAATATTCATTAGCCTCCACTGAGTTGGGTAGATCCCTGCCTGGATAGATATGGCTCTTTACTTCACGTAGCTTTTGACTTCACCCTCTTTTTATTTCCCTAGTCCAAGGCGACATCTGTAGACTCCCCTTTGGTCTGTCTTCCTTTTCCCCTCAATTACAACTATGAAAAACACTGATGAGCTCTTAGTAAGTTTCGACAAGTCTGTGAGAACAGGAAGGGACAGGGGAAGGTGGCTCCTTGATCCAGCCCTCCCTGAAACCCTGCTCCTGGAAGGATTGATCAAAAGTCACAGTCACATCGCACTGCCACGGGATCCTAGTTCTCTATGGTCCTGCAGAATGAACTTATTGACAACCCTTGATCTAACTTTTCTTTCCTTTTGTGTCTTTTCTCCCAAGGGACTGCATCTTTCAGTATTTTCAATGTCAACAACATCAGAAAGGGTTAAGCAGGGTCAAAACCCTTCCTTCCCAGGCACTTGTCTTCTGCCCTCTGGGGGTAACAGGAAGGTGAGTGTGGCTTCAGTTCTCACCATAGTCAGTGTTCTCAGGTTCCCAGCAGTTGGAAGGCCAGAAGTAAGGAGCCTGTAAGAGAGTACTAAGCATCAGTACCTAGAGACACCCGCCTCTCTGCACCCACCAGGGCCCTCTCCACAGCAGGCCTCTGCCCATCTCCTGGCTGACTCCACACCCAACCCTTTGACATAGCTGAGGCCAGTCAACAATTTAATCTGGGGGTTGAGAAATAAAATCCAAGGTAAGCAAAGTAAATGCAAAAGCAAGAAATTTTGTTTATGAGGCAGACAATAATCTCTTTTTAAGAGGCTTTTTATTGTTTATTGAGGCAAAGTACCCTTGCCACATAAAATACAGGCCACCTGCCTGTTTTAAACTTGAATATTATATGGGGCATCCTTATACTTAAAATATTTATTGTTTATCTGGAATTAAAATTAAACTGCATATCTGTATTTTTAATCCTCTAAATTTGGCAACCTTGGGCCAGAGGACACAATCTTTTTTTACTTATTCTATTTTATGTTATTTAACATCATGAGATGGTATGCAGAACCTGTAGCAGCAGTTATATGACTGAACAGCTCTATGTCACTAAATTAATTCCTTATTTGGCTATCAGACCTGGAGGGTTGGATGTCTCCAAAAAGGGAGAAAAATAATATAACATTTAATATCATTTTATATTTACCAATGATCTCCCACATACGGTCTTTTAAAACACACTGTTTTTAGGAGGCAGGATGAAGTCAAGAATTCTTATCTGGAAACACATGGCTTCTAATAACCAGACAGAGGCTGGCAGTCTCCCGGGTGCACAGCCTGGCTTCCTTTTTGCCCTTGAACCCACTGAAGACCTCTAATACCATCTGTGCCCCTGTTCCCTCTCAGGCAGGGTCTGGGGGAGGCAGCGTAAGTAGAAACCTCACCCCAGCATGAAGGAGGAGCATGGTCATCTAGGCCCAACGCAAAGCTGCCTCCTAGATTCACGAGGGCCACATCAATTCTCTGGGCTCCTCCAGGTTCTGGTCTGTAAAATGGGCAATATTTACCCCTCCCCAACAGTTTGTCCATCAGAATAAGTGAGAAAATACATGCAACATGTCTGCTATGGCCTGAATGTTGGTGCCCACCCTTCACCATGAATGATCCTACTCCCCAAGGCGATGGTATTGGGAGACTTTGCGAGGTGAGGAGGTCATGAGGCACTAACCTCCTGAGCAGGGTTAGTGCCCTTGTAGAAGAGGCTTGGAAGAGATCCCATGTCCCGTCCACTGTAGGAGGACACAGTTAGAAGGTGCCCTCTGTAAAACAGTGGGCCTTCTCCAGACCAAACCTGCTGCAGCCTTGATCTTGGATTTCCCAGCCCCCGGAATTATGCAAAACCAAGTTCTTGCGTTTATAAGCTACCCGGTCGACGGTATTCTGTTACAGCAACCCTAAAGGGCTTAGGCAATGCCTCTGAAGCAGTAGGCTCTCAGTGAGCGCCTTTTACGCTTATTCAGTGGGTCAACCCGTGGCCCAGACGGATGGGTTTCCCAATGCTGCTTCCTTGAACACCCTTAGATTTTCTAGGTGGTTCTGATCTGAGTTCAGATGATGATAAGTGGGAAAAGGTGCTTGAGGAGGAGGAGCCCCGGGGCCTACCTGGAAACGGTAGAAGGTACCATCATCCTTCATGGTGAGAACATGATCAGAGATTGGAAAGATGTAGCCCTGGGCGGCGATAAGGCTTCCCAAGTGTATTGCTTCAACTGCAGAGAGACAGACAGAATCAGGAAGTGGATGATTTCGTTGAAACATACAAGGGCAGAGCAGTAAGATGACTGGCTGTCAAGGGTCCTCCCCTCCAGGCGACTGTGTTTATGTCGTGATTGCATTTGCTGGTGGTGGCGTGGGAGGGGAGACGCCCACAGAGGAGGAGGATGGTCAAGGGCTGGGGGGTCCTCTGGGTCCCAGCTGTGAAAATCTGATAATTGTCAACTTCCTACCCCTACAGTCTTCCAGGAGAAAGCCAGGTCTTGCTTCATGGATGCGAACATGAGCACTGGCATAGATGAACTTGTATTTAATTAAGTGAGATATTTCACATGAAGTGCTTAGCGGTGTCTGGTACAGGGCAAATACTCAATAAGGGCTGGCAGCTTTGATTCATGGCCTCGCTTCATCTTGTTTTATCACCCTGGGCAGTGAGGACGCGGCCCCGCTGCCCACGGGGACTGTGAATTCCTGTTACAGTCCTGCAAACAACACTCTCATCAGTGGTGACAGTGTTTCCCCTTCTCTTGTGGGCATAGATTAAAAATTCACTTTCTAAGAAAATTGGAAGAAGGACAATAGTTTGGGCAGTGACCCTGGCGGGGGGGTGTCAAACTGAAGGAAATATATATTTGGTAACATCGACTTCTTGTTTAGCACCAGTCCTAAATAGATTCCTATTGATAGTTAAGAATTTATATTTTATCCTACACAGAGCTAAGAAAAAATACCTCAACCTAAATGCCCCTCCTACACATAAGAAGTGTCTACAAACCTCAGAGTACTTTCATTGGTTAAAAAGCAATATCTGGACATGGAAATGACTGACATGCTGAGGGAGTCTCTTAGCAATTATTAATTTCATAAGCTCTGGATTTTTAAAAGTGATTTGTTTTGGCTTTACCTGTGAACTCTTCAAGAGGTTGAATCTGATCCAGATGCTCTACTTATTGAGAATCATCTACTCCCCTTTGGGAGACGTGTACACTTAAAACTGGTGGGTTCGGAATGCATGGAGTCTTACTTCTTGGGATGACCAGTTTGCTTTTTAAGTTCTAAACAGCTGCCCCTCGGTAACTGTGGGTAACAGTGGGGGATTCGTTCCAGGACTCCAGCAGATACAAAAGCTGTGGGTGCTCAAGTCTCTTGTATGAAAGGGCATAATATCTGTGTATAACCTCTGCGCATTCTCCCTATACTTTAAATCATCTCTAGATTACTGATAATGCCAAATATAATGTCCACGGTATGCTACTAGTTGTCAGTCTGTGTCGTTTAGGGAATAATGGCAAAAAGTGAAGTCTGTGCGGGTTTAGTACAGGTGCTGTTTCCTTCCCCTTGACTGTTTTCCACCAGGTTGGTGGAGTCTGTGGACACAGACTTGCCGAAATGGAAGGCCCACTGTGTGCTTCAAGAATAATGGGTCCAGCAAGAAGGGACGCTTCCTCCTCAGCTGCAGCTGCTCCTTTCCCAGGGATGAAAGAAAACGATACAGGAAGAAGGTGGCCTTCATGCCACCCGTATTGGAGCTTATGCTTAATCTTTGAAAAAAGGTTTTTACTCAGAAATTTGGCAAAAGAGAAGAAACGGAGGAGCCGCAGGCAGGTGTTGGACACGCCTCGCTCCCCAGGTGCTGCTTCACCTCGTCTGCCCCCTTCTGTACCCAGCTGGCCCATCCCGAGCCGCTCAGAAGCCCAAACCAGGTCCCCTGGGCACTGGAGTCTCACAGACCTTCACAGACAGGCCCAGCACAGAGACTCCTCATGAGGCCCAGAGCATTCTCACCTCTACTACCCGGGATAGGGTTCTCAAAATAACAATAATAAGAAACAGTAAAATATGTATCAAAAATACAACGATTATTTCAGAAGAGTAAAGAAACCAGTGCTCCAATAGCGAAGCCATGGACCAAACTAGGTGCCCTTCAATAGGTGACTGGGTATAGAAAATGTGGTCCATATACACAATGAAATATTACTCAGCCATAAAGAAGAATGAAACTATGGCATTTGCTGGTAAATGGATGGAACTGGAGGCTGTCATGCTAAGTGAAATAACCCAATCCCCCCCAAAATCAAAGGCTGAATGTTCTCTCCAATATGCAGATCCTAACTCAGAATAAGGGGGTGGGGAGGGAAGAATAGGAGTTCATTAGATTAGACAAAGGGGAATGAAGGGAAGGGAGAGGGAATGGGAATAGGAAAGACAGTGGAATGAACTGGACTAACTTTCATATATGAATATATGACCAGTTTACCTACACATCATGCACAACCACAAGAATGGGAAGTTATACTCCATGTATGTATAATATGTGAACTGTCATATATGTCTAAAAAGAACAAATTAAAAAACCAAAGTGTTTTTGTTTTAAAGACTATTTGTTTTCTGCCGATTTCACTACTTTTTTTTAAAAAAATTATTTTTCTTTAGTTGTAGTTGGAAATATTTATTTTATTTATTTATTTTTATGTGGTGCTGAGGATCAAACCCAGTGCCTCACACATGCTAGGCAAGTGCTCGGCCACGGAGCCACAACCCCAGCCCATGATTTTACTGTATTTTTAATTGCTTAAAAAAAAATGAAGTCCTACCAGAGTTAAGATTTATTCAAATCTTCATTTGTTCTAAAGTCTCCTTTGATTTATAAGTTAAGTAAACAACTACTTTTACCAAACAACAACAACACAAACAAAACCAAAAGAACAACAACATAAAACCAGTGCTCTTTGAAAAGACCACCATCATCAAAAGAACCACTGATGTCAAATAAATGTAACCAAACTGGTGGTTGCTGATGGCTGCTTATCCTGTCCAGTTTCATGAATGGATAATTGGATGTCCAGGCTGCAGAGGAGAAGCACATAGGTGGGTTCTACCCTTTAAAAGAACTAGCATTTATAATTTTTCTCTGGTGCATTAAGAACTTGACCAGAATTAAGGATTTTTGCTAGTTGTAAGCGGACACTGAACAATAGTGAGAGGCCTAGGGTCACTTCCACAAATGACCCACTTTCCTGGCACTCAGATTTCCAGCAACCATATTTAACTGAACTGAAGATAAATTGTTTCATAGTCAACAGCAGATTAGGACTGTCAGGTTAAAATGCAAGAATGTCAGAGATGACATCCTGATCCCATCAAGGAACCACATCTGAAGGTCAGACACCGGGGGTGGGCACTGGGGGGGGGACACAAAGCCCTCAGAAAGCATGGTGATTGAGGGCCACTTAAACTGGGGCAAATAATTCCAATCAGTGCCAGTGTCCATCAAGAACATCAGCCTGGATTCACATCAGTGGAACTTCATAAGCATGACCTTTGGGCATCAAGAATACCCGGTTAAGCAAGACCAAGGGAGTGTAGGATCAATTCAAAAATTATTAACTAATAGCATGTGGATAATCAGCTCTACTTATGTAGAACTTTCATTTTTCTGGAGTCGTCCTCCCATTTCCTAATTAGGCTTTGAAAGTTAATTTTCCTGCTTCTTTCCTGGGTGGGGAGAGGACAGATTTGGAAACTGTCTTATTAGCCAGGGTTTTGTTGTTGTTTTGGCAGGGTTCTCCTCATTGAAATGCACAATTAGAATTAAAAAAACAAAACAAAACAACAACAACAAAAAAAACTACCATTCCTTCACTTCTTGCAAGAAGCAAAAACAAAAACAAAAACAAAAACAAAAAAAACCAGAAGGCGTCTTAGCAAATAATTAAACATCTTAATTGTGGATCAGGCAATCTAATTTTAAGAGCTGGCTCTAGAAGGCTGTTAAGTGACAGTGCTACAACTTATCTTTAATTGCTGCAGCTAACAGAGAATTCATCTCATTTCACACGCTAATGTATCGAGCTCTTTGGCATTCTAAATAGTTGCTCATTTCCTCAAAGGGTGATTTAAATTTGAAGATAGATATTCAGTGGAGAAAATATATTAATTTTATTTGTAAATAGAGTGATTTCACATCTAGCAATTCACATTGGTAAGCAGGAGAGATCCCAGTTTGCTGGTAACAGGGGTCAAGGGTCAAGTACCTGGGTCCTCGATGGAAAGGTTCTTCATGAGCCACTGCACAACGTCAGTACCTGCAACGACAAAGCAGTTTCCACTGAAGACCTCATGGGTGTTTAAGCCTGTGACAGAAGAAACGTGTGTACCTGAGAGAATCCTAATTTTAATCAGCCAACCTAAGATGCGGATTATATTGAATATTTTCCATCCTTACTCAACCCTTTTCTTCCACTGGTACATTTTCAGTTACTTTCGTTTCCAAAAAATTTCACTTTGGATGACTCAGGTTATATCCACATTTCTAGGGAGAAATTACAGAAGGCTTCCTGGGAATAAAGATGGGAGGGTGACTTCATCATGTGGGTCCCCAGAGCACTTTCTGAGGACTCTTCAGCTTCCTACCTTTACTGACAAGGGTTGCTTGACACAGGTGACCTCAGAGAGTTGTAAAACTCTCTCATCTCTTTTGGCATGGGCCCATCTTGAATCATGTGCCCCGGGGGGTCTGTGGCGGAAATTTCCATGTGTTCACCAAAACCTCTTCCTTATACCACTGGGCCTGAGCGGGACTGTATTTCCAGACTCCCCTGAAGCTGGGTGTGGATCAAGTTGTACCAAAGGAATGTGAATAAAAATGACACTTGCAGCTTCCAGACCTAGACCATAGAAATAGGTAGCCCTCCACCCCTCCACCCACTTCCCTTGGCCCACCACTGGATGGAGAGCACCTGAGAACCTGAGGGAGGCGGAGCCACAATATGGAAGGAGCTCTGGTTCCAACCATGAAAATTAATGCTCATTTGAGGCTCTTACTTGATCTAGAATTAAACTTCACTGGGTTAAGCCCCTGGAATTTGGAGGTTTAATCTGCTTTAGCATCTAGTGTTATCTTAACAAATATAAAATCCCGAGTCAGCAGGGACTTACTTGTCTGCTCTTTCACCCTGTACACGTACACAACACCTGGGATAACAGGTGCTGCAACCTGCATTTGGGAAAAAACCTAGCACCTGGGAACTCACAAATTCCCCACTAACCAGCCTGTTCCAGGCAAGGGGTCCTTGATTTCTCTGAATGGAAAGTTGCCCCCTCTCTCCCTTCCCTGCTTTGGCCTTAGTTTTACTCTCCAATGAGAGAAAATCAAACCTGACCCCAGACCTGATCACTGAGTGAGACCAGTCACTGGGATGTTGGACTGTCCTGGGGAACCCCCAAGGTCTCTCTCCAGGGGGAACCTGCCTGGATCCCTGAGGGCAGGGGCGGCCTTGCCTGACCTGGAGCTCCTCGCCATTTTGGCCACGGTCCTTTGAATATGTCCCTTTCTTTGCCTGCCTTTGGAGACGTACACTTAGAACCCACATTCTAAGAGAAACACAGCGCAGGAGAGTGGAAGATTTTCTGGAAGGTCCCATAACGATTTGTCACTCAAAGATCTCACTTTACAGTGAGAGGACCACCGAAGATGGCTTTGTCACCTCAGCATGGAATGCTTAATGGAAACAGCAGCTATCTGAGTCCTGCTAGGGTCGGGGGCCTTGGTGCGAGGGACAGGGTCTGCCAGTCGCTCTGCTGGGTCAGACTCCCTGCTGGCCCACTGGAGACCCAGCAGAGGGGCTTACCAAGCATTTCCCTTTTCCCAGAAATCAAATTTCTCTGAGATTTGACTGGTGGCCAGAAGTGAGACCGTGCAAGCTCCAGCATCTGGACCTCTGTTTCTCTCTCTGGCTCTGAGGAAGGTGGCCTAACTGCTCTGTAGAGCTGCCAGGGTCCACCCCACTCTTCCTGGGCTCTCCCCAGGTCCAGCCTCCCCTGACCAGTCCTTTCAATGTCCCTGCATTTCAACCTCAAAAGAGGGACTTCTAAGCTTCTCCCCACCCCTGCTCCCGGATGGCATCTATAAGCTAACCCTTGGACCAGAAACACGCCGATTCATTTGCATTTTGACACAAAGAGTGTGTGTGTGTGTGTGTGTGTGTGTGGGTGGGTGGGTGTGTGTACACGCATGCGTGCGTGCACGTTCATTTCCTCCAAATTACACAAGTTCAACATTTGTCCTAGGAAATGAAGAACAAAGCAGAAATCAAAGAAGGACTGTAATCCCAAGTTGGAGGTCGGGGTGAGGCTCTAACCTGTTTTTTTTTTTTTTCCTCAAAAGAAAAATAGTTCTTTTTTGTGGGTTGCCTGGAAACCGCGAGGTTGCCAGCATCACTCCGGCTCTCCCTGGGGCCAGCGGATTATCTTTCTGCTGAGCTTGCCGAACCATTATTTATCACCTGCCAAGATTGATTACTCACCCTGGGACAATGACAGCCCTTCCTTTCCCCTGTTAATTACTGTCATCATTAATATCCATGTCACTAATTAGTATTCATTCACAGTGAAACTCCTTCCTTGCTATCGCATCCGCTCCCCCGCTGCCCCAACCCCAGTCTCCGGCACCGCGGTCTGGGTTTCTACCTCCTGGCATTATGCACGGGTCCCTGGCCTATTGTCCTCTCTGTCCACCAGCGCCCAGACTGTGTTCCCAGACCTACAGGGTCCCATTGAAGCCCCCCTTTTTTTTTAGAATAAGGAAAAGACAAAAAAGCCCCTTTCCTCTTTCCCCTGTCATTGTGGGGGCCACGGAGTGGGGTGTCCTGTCCCTGGCACAGCCACCATGATAGTCAGTCTCATCCGGGGCTTGGTGTGACTGTCCTCAGGCCCAGGCAAGGGCTGAGCTGCGCCCCAGGGCTGTCGTGAGCCACCGTGCTCAACCTGCAATGTCACTAACCTCACTGCTGCCCCCTACACTCCGTGGACACTGTTGGGTAGACTTGTGGCAAACGTGATGGCCATGCCCAGGGACGTGGCACCCTTGCTTTCCTGCTGTGGGCTGTTTCAGGCTCCCTGGGACTGATCCAGGAGTGGCCAAGCCTCAGGCTTGTGGCAGGAAGGAACCATTGTGTGTTGAGGCCCAGGAACCAGTAAAGGAAGTCAATGTGTCATAATATTATGTCTTTTAAAAGCCCTGCCACCCAACACCATGGAATCCGACAAGAGCAGTCCAAGTAACCAGGAGGAAACAGCATTTTGCATTTCCTGTTCTCTCCTTCCCTCACCCCACACCAACCCCCAATGGTTCCTCCCTTCCTCTCCTAAAAAGAACTTGAAGCAGATTTTCTTTCCTGTTCTATCTAAAATGAGTTGTTGCCCTTCATCAGGACTGTTGGATTTTGGGTCTTATCTTAGCTCAGCTGCCGTGCTGAGCTCTTAAAGACAATATAACACTTAACAATGTGTTATATTGTGCGACGTGGGAGAGCTACCCCTTATTCCCAAGTCCGCAAACACTTGTCTGAAAGTTGTCTTTTTTGAGGCTAATTTATTAACTTATTCCTGGGATCTCCATGAAATACACCAGAGGGCACGCAAGCTACTTCTCCACAGCACCTGTGTTTTATTAGTATATTTACACATGTAATTACTAATGCAGCTAGGCATTGGTTTCTGTACCTGTTGTATTTCAACCATATCTTCTAAATTTTTTTTTTTAGTTGTTGATGGACCTTTATTTTATTTATATGTGGCACTGAGAATCGAACCCAGTGCCTCAACACATGCTAGGCAAGTGTTCTACCGCTGAGCCAAAACCCCAGCTCCTCAACCCTATCTTTTATATATAGTCATGTTTACTGAATGGCTGTAAACAACCTAAAAGTCCTCCAACAGGGGGTTGAATCAGTAAATTATGGCTCATTTATGTAATAAATTTTTATTGAACACCTACTATATTAAATACGAAAGCATGTTAAGAACATAATATGTTGTAAAATTACATTTTTTACAACAGAAAAATATTTCCATTTATATTCTTTTTTTGGGGAAGGGGGTGTACCAGGGATTGAACTCAGGCACTGGGCCACTGAGCCACATCTCCAGCCCCATTTTATAGTTTATTTAGAGACAGGATCTCACTGAGTTGCTTAGCGCCTTGCCTTCGCTGAGGCTGGCTTTGAACTCGTGATCATCCTTCTCAGCCCGAGCCACTGACATTACAGGCGGGCACCACCGTGCCCGGCATTCCATTTATATTCTATTAATTATGCATGTATGAATATACACAGAAATGAAGAAAAGTCTGGAAGTGTCTTTAAATTGTTAAGTTAGGGTATCTTGGGCAGCGTGAGGCATCACATTATGGGAAATATCTAGTTTTTAAAAATTTCTGTATTACTTGAAGTTTATAGAGCATTTATATGCTCTGTTATACTGACAAAAATGCTTTTTATTATAAATAGTAGAGAGAATTGGAGAGGGTATGGGAACTTTGAGCCCCCCACTCCCCCATCCCGCACTCAGGTCCTGGGTACTTTCTGCTTTCTGGGGAAAGGGCAGAGGGGAATGAGGATCTCCAAGGGTGAGAAGAGAGAGGCTCAGTGGTGATGCTGGACATGGGCTTTGAGCTGGTCCCTCTCTCTGGCCACCTGCTGCCCCTGGAAGCTCTGAGTGGACTTCTGTAGACCCTGGTGCTGCTCGCCCACTGTCCTGGACCACAGGTAACAACCCGCACCCATCCCTTGTGTTTACTTGTTTACTTGGGTAGAGTAACACGTTGTGATCTCCTCCTGCTGAGTTTTCACACTGTATTTCCTCTAGATCAATAAAACCAGATTTGAATAAGCTGGCAAGATCTTCTAATATTTTAGGGGCTTCTGTTTCTCATTTTGGTGGGGGGAGCTTATTATAAAATTCTGGATTTTGCCTCCAGGTGTTTTAAGCTTCTTCAAAGACTTGGCATTTGATGAGGATACTCATTAGTCGGAACCCAAGGAGATCCTAGTGTGAAACTTCCCTATTCTTCCCAAAGTAGTGGATCCATATGAGCCCAAATCAAATTATGCAAAGCCGACAAAAGACTGATTGCTATCATCTGCAAATTTCAAGTTACCTGGTAGATTTTATATATCATAATACTGACAGCTGGAGCAACTGATAAGCTAATTATCCACCCTTCCCATTTCCCTTGAGCAAAATGTTTCTGGAGCCCAAGGAAAGATATGAAGGCTTCTGCAGGGAGAGAGCTCATCCTACTCCT